GTTGTGGCTCGGCTTTATGCGGTGCTTTCAGCCCGTGAGGACCAATTCCACCCCAAAATTGGGGATCGTATCCCCTATACTCAGCCTATACTACGATAATCCGTATTCAGGTATATGGACCCGAAGCCCTCAACCCTTTTGGGGTTTAGGGCGTATGGACCGTAGACCCTTTTGGGGCTCTTTCAGTCACCAAGGGGATCTGCAGCAGAGATATGGGCAGTCATTTCAAGGGTGTGTGTCTTGAGACAGCTAAGGCGATGCTTCTCCCAGCCTCACGGTTGCACTTGTGGGTCCTTTGTATGTGGGATTAGGGGTTTAAGGGGTTGAGGGATTAGGGGGTAAGGGTGTAGGGTTTAGGACCGTTTGGGGGGGCAGGGTTCCACACAGCTGCTCTTGCCACTGTTGAGCGTGCAAGTCGCCTGTTGTTCAAGAAGTGTGAGTTAGCAGCTGGCAGCGATGAAGATTGTAGGCTCTTTTTTCGCCATGTTAGCCTTGCTGCTCATGATGCTTGGGGCTGCGGGCACGGCCGGCAACGGCAAGGCTGCAGCAATGTCAGGCCACGAAGCCCAGTGCTCCGATGTCAAGAAACCTGCGCACCGGGGCAGGTCCCAGGCGCCGGTAATTCTGGACCACGATGGCAACTATGACGACATTCTAGTTCTCCTGGTCTTGTTGAATGTACGCCCGGCTGTGGACTTGAAAGCAGTTCTAGTAACACCTGCTGACTGTGAGCTCCAACCTGCACTGGAAGTGTCCTCCACAGTGCTCTCGATGTTTGGGCATGATGCCCCAGTCTTGCCAGGGCATTTCCCTGCACGCTTCAACGCGTTCCCCCGCGTGTGGCGAGAGCTCGCTTCTGAAATGCAACAGGTGGCCGACATCTACCTGCATGCCTCTACTACTTCCGGAGACCGGCCCAGGCCCACGATTGCTGCGCACGAATGGCTGGCAGAGTATCTTTCACAGGACACAACTAACACAACAGATTTCATCATCACAGGGCCTGCGACAAATCTGGCATCGACTCTCAGGCAGCACCCTGAGCTAATTAGCAAGGTCGGCACCGTGTTCTGGATGGGGGGCGCTGTGGATGTTCATGGAAACTTTGTCACAGTTGGGCAACATTTTACATGTTTAAGGGTACTTAAGCCCAATAAGGAATATAGAATTAATTTTTTGAGTATTTGCCCGACCATGAACTAGGAAACGTCCGGCACGACGACGATGTGCGGGCCCAGGAGAGCGACGGCTCTGCCGAGTGGAACGCGTTTTGGGATCCGTCGGCGACGGCGGAGCTCCTGAAGTTAGGCCTCGACTTGCGATTGGTCCCTATATCCCCCCTTGGGAATGTTTTTTCATTCTTGTTTGTATAAAACCCAAGAGGACATTTTTTCAATACTATTTTTTATCAAGGTTCTAAGGGGAAGAAGAGGTCCCTTTGGATGCCACGGACGATGTCCCAGTCACCAGGGACTTCATCCAACGCCTGGACCCGAGCTTGGAAGTGGCCCGGACTGCACGCCACTACATCCACCTTGAGAATTATTTTCTATGTTTTTGAAATTTTTGTTTATTATATAAAACGCAAGAGGAGAATCAAGAGGATATTATTTTCATGAAGGTTCTAAGGGGAGTATAGGCCAGATCTGGGCACAGTCCAAGTTCCAGAAGAGCAACGCCGTGTACTACATGTGGGACACACTGACAGTGCTTCGGCTCGCACTCTTCGCGCAGGGTTTAGGGTTTAGGGTTTAGGGTTTAGGGATTAGGTTGAGGGTTTAGGGTTGAGGTTTTTTTTCTTTCTGGTGCGTGTTGACGAGAACGTATTGTGGCTTTATGTGGGATGTTCCCCTTACACCTAACAGCTCCTGAATTAGGGATGATAGATAGGAGAGTAGTGCAATCCCTAACTAAGGACTGTTTGTATAAGGGGGAACAAGCAGCCTCAGAATGCACAAGAGAACCCCGTGCCGCAGAAAGCCGTCCATGATGTCGACCGTCTTCTTCCCCTAAGCCCTACAGTCGGGATGTTCCGCCCTTATACGAAGGACTGTAAGTATGAGGGCGAACATCCCGAGGTTTAATGTCAGACCCTAAACACCCTAAACCCTAAGACCCACCCCAAAAAATAACCCTAAACGCCCTAAACCCTAAAGTCCCCCCCCAAAAAACAAGTAAACCCTAATCCCTCAACGCCCCTAAGCCCCAAACCCGACCTTTCTTTGGCTCAACGTGAGCTGAGGTCGGCTTATACCTGCGACCTGACCTTTGCACGTGGGAGGCCTTCCAAAGAGATGAGGGCTTAGGGCTTAGAGCTTAGGGTTTAGGGTTTAGGGTTTAGGGTTTAGGGTTTAGGGCTTAGGGTTTAGGGCTTAGGGCTTAGGGCTTATATAGGGCTTAGGGCTTAGGGCTTTAGGGCTTATAGTTTTCGGGCTTATGCCAGCTGACGTAAAGAGTCTGGGTTCAAAAAGGGTTCAAGTTTGCCAGCGGAGCGTGTTTTTTTCTACCTCCCTGCACTTTGCTGAACCCTTACCTACCACAAATTTCTACCCTGAACCCTAAACCCTGTCCACCAAACTCCCTAAAGCCGTTTAGCCTGTGCCACCCGCACTGCACACGCCTAAGCCGGGATGAACCTCGTTTTGCTTCCTGCGGAGTTGCGCTTGGGCGTGCGCAGCGCGGGTGGCAGAAGCACAAACCCTCTACATATGCCAGAAACAACCCTACCCTGCACCCTAAACATCCCAACAGTCCCTATTAACCCTGTAAACCCTTAACCCCTGTTTACCCTCCGAAAGCACCCGTCAAGAGAGACCCGGCAAATCCTCCACCGCGGAAATCTAAGGATGGCTACATGGTACCTTAGTTTGGGGAAATACCCCTCAGATGCCCTATCAAACATACTTCAGAAACTCGAAAAACTGACACCCTAAACCCTAATTGGGAGGTCGCCCTGTAGTTTTTGTGCTGCTGGCGAGCTAGTAAACCCTCAACCCTAAACCCCAAACCCTAAACCCTAAGCCCTGCTGACAGGAGCTTCGTCTGCGAGGATGGGCTGAGGGTCTCGCTCAGGGCCGCACCGAGCGAGCCGAGGCGCCACAGAGGTTTGGGGGGTTTCGAGGTTTTGAGGGGTTTGTAAAGATTAGGGGTTTAGGGTTGGGGTGGGCTTCGGGTCTTGCGGGTTGTCTAGACGGGGAGGAGGCTTTGGGGATTGGGGCTGGGTTAGTTACGCTTGAGGGCAGGATTTCTCCAATAGCCTTGTCCGAGACTGGGTTCTCCAAAAAGGGTGTGTCCAGGGTTGGGAAAGATGCGAAAAAAGGATTTGTGCGTTTAGGGTTTGCTCTGTACAGAGATTTGGGGTTCGCTATGGACATCTGTGTGGCAGCTTGGGGGGGTTTTGCCCGGCGTGAGACCTGGATGGACAAGGGTTTGGGGTTTAGGGTTGAAATCGAGCCAGCTGACATAAACCCTAAACCCTAAACCCATAAAGTCTGGGCTTAAAAGGGTTGCAATCGCCGTGTTAATTGAATCTGTTCAGGGAGGCAGTACCCAGTGGCCGTAGCCGCCCGCCTTAGGCGGTCACTCCCCTTCCTCCATAACACCATAACATAGTAAACCCTGAACCCTAACCCTAAACCCTAAACCCTATGCCGGTATTGGTCCCTGCAACGTGGCCTGAGTGTCAGCTAGGCGGGTGGCAACAAAAAACCCTCAACCCTCAGATTTGGGACCTTTGGCGTTGCAATGTGCCTTTGTCCTGCATGCAGGATGCTCCAGTGCTGCACATGGCGAAGAACACCAACGTGTCCGCATTCACTGATTTTCTAATCGACGTGTTTAATCAAGAGAGCTAAAGGCTAAAGAGTCTTTACTCTTTTCGCTACAGCTGACTTACCTGCACTGAAGCGGGGAGAGCAAATTGCATGGTGGAGTCAGCGCTTTAGTCCCCCTGCCGGTGGAACGCACTCAGGCGCCAAGCAATCTTGGAGAGGCTGCACGCACGTCGAAGAGCGACCATGTGCACACACAGGATTGCTCATGGGCAAAGTACCCACAGCGACAGCCCCTGGCTGAGCTGCAGGCTCGCTTGTCGTTGGGAGCCCCATCATTGAGGGAAGGCTGATGCGATGCACTCTGGCAGGAAAAACGTGCAGAAGGCCTTAAACCTAAAACCCTAAACCGTACCCTAAACCCTAAACCCTACCCTAAACCTGCGCAAGCTCGAAGCCCCGAGCTGCTGCCAAGGTAGTTTGCCTGCAGATTCTTCTGTCCGAGCTGGGAATCGGCATAACAGCAATCTCGGCCGTTCTGCTGCATCATGCCCCTTGGGGGGGGGGGGGAAGGGACGGAGTGCGGTGAGAAATTTGAGTGCATGGTGCTGAATTTGGTCAGAATCGATGCGCTCTGGGATAGACTCGGACTGAGAAAGTGGTGCCTTGACTCTGCAAGACTTGTTATTTCATCCGCTTCGGTCAAGCTTGCACCACTAAGGACGCACGACCAGGTTGTCAGTTGGAGGCCAGTTGCGATTCGTAGAATTTCTGCACTGCCAATTGTGTTTTCTCCTCCTGTTCTTGGTACTTCTGAGACAGGAGGAGTGAGATGCCGACCACTATTGGGAAGCTTGGCTGGCAGAGACCATGATGTTGAACTGTTGCACGTCTTACTAGTATTGTTATTATTATTATTCAATATATTTTTGCATTTACCTGCATGTGTACTCCCTAAACCCTAAACCCTAACTGGCTCATGTCGCGACAGACTTCTGCAGCCCAGGTCAACGAAGCAGATGCTGTGATTCCAAAGAACCGCTCCCGACAAATACTGACCTTACTTGCGATGCGAAATCTGGATTCGACAGTTGTGGCAGTAAGGTTTAGGTTTTAGGGTGTAGTGTTTAGGGTTGAGGGTTTAGGGTTTAGGGTTTAGGGTTTAGGGTTTAGGTCTGGCAAAAAGCACGCCCTGGAATTCTAGTCGCAAATGTTTGGGCCACTGGTCAGGCAGCCTTGCTGAATGGTCAGAGTGAGCGGATCGTGCTCATGGGCAACTCGGCAACCATGAATGAGTTCTGCCGCCCTGCCCGTAAGTAGGTACTACTATTTGCAGAAGAACCCTTCCCTTCCCACAAAGAAAGAAGAAAGGAAAGGAAACACATTCTTCCCTGTAAGGGCAAGAAAGGGGTTATTTTTAAAAGAATATTGGGGGTTCTAAAGCAAATCGTAGAATTGTTAATATTTTTGTTGGGGGTTCCAAAGCAAATGGTAGAAAGGTACTGTAATCTGCTCCCCCCCAATAGTTCTTATACCACCCCGTGATAGTTCTATTATTGTATATGGTAGGGGGGGGGGGGTTAAAACTACTTATGAGCCCAGTAGGTGAACTTTAAACTTTTTGGATACACTAAACCCCTACGAAAAGAAAAGTTTAAACTTGTTAAAGCCAGGGTATTGGGCAACTAAAATTCGGGGGAGGGGATGACTGTACTTTCCCTAAACCCTAAAACCCTAAAACCCCAAACCCTAAACCCCAAACCTCAAACCCTAAACCCTAAGCATGTTCTCAGAGACTCAGGCATGTCCCAAGGCGGCGGACAATCGATGCTCCGGTGCGGTGGCCGAGTTGCCAGCAAGGAAAGCCAAGGAAAGCCAGAATTTCGGGTTTCGGGTTTAGGGTTTAGGGTTTAGGGCTAGGGTTCAGGGTTTAGGGAGTCGGGGTTTTCGCCGAGGCTGAGTGGGGGGTCGTGTCTGTTCAAGGCAGTTTTATTTGCAGGCTAGCTGCAACAAGGGGACGCATGAGGCATTCCAAACGGTTTGATCAATTGAGCTGAAGCGCTGCAACAGCATGGCCGTAGCAGCATGTCCTATCTTGATATTTTGCTGGTGAGCCTCTGCTTTTGTGGAAGAAATTAGGAACAAAGATCCTAAACCCTATGACTTGCCCTGCTTGGAGGTTCATGGGTACTTGTCAGTAGGGTAAGTGTGGTAAGGACCTTATTTGGGGTACTTCTATCGCCCTTAGAAGTACCCGGAAACCTTCAAGTGGGTTCAGGGTTTAGGGCAACCGGTCGAAGATGCGTGATTCGGCTTTGAGGTTCCTCCGCTCACGCATCCGCTTGGGCGGTTGGGTCGGCTCCGTGTGCCACGTGCCCACGGCGCCCCACACCCCGAGAGACCGTGCCCGCGCTCAGAGCAGGAAGAAGAGAATCTTTCAGAGGCGCAATGAGAACTACATACAATACTTGGCTATGGCTCCTAGACGCCATGTCCAAAGAGAAGAAACTGCATCAACGAACTGTGGCCAAGTATTATGGCGGGCAGTAGCCGAAGTTGCTTCAGTTTGTTTCAGTTTGCTTCGTAGTGCTTTGATATGTATTGCTGATCAACCGGAGCCCGTGCCCGCTCTTCCCTGTACTCGCCATGAGGTGACCCATTGCTGGCTGCTGCCCGACCGACAGCAGCATGGCTGCATCGAGAATAGGCACACCGGGGCCAGATGTGAGGCGTATTGCTTCACACAAAGCATGAGCAAGAGTATAGCGCATTGCACGTAGACAGGATTCAAGCAGCAAGTAAAGAGACGCGAGCAAGCTTGCACCTTTTCGGCCTTTCGTGAACACCCGGCTGAAGCCCAAAACTTGGAGCGATCTCGATCGAAAAGTGGGATTGGGAGAGTTGCAGTGGTCGGAGTCCGACCCGAGGTGAACCGATCAAGACCGGTCCGCTTGCTGGCCGGTGAGGCCTTTGGCTGCACATCTTGGTGTTGCACAAAAGGTTTAGGGTTTAGGGCTTAGGGCTTAGGGTTTACCCCTGCGAATGCGCGACGAGCTGAATTCTTGCATCACTGCAGAGGCGGACTGTGTGTTCGCACCCGCCTTGGTGTCCGGCACTTGGGGGAGCCCGGCCAAAAACAAGCAGACGAGACGTGACATGAGCTACGAATGGCATCAGATTCACTTTTCGCCGTTGAAGTTTCTGCCGGCAGTTGACTCGCCTAAGACAGGCGAGCGGGCTCCAGGTCGATAACATGCAACCGATGCCACGTGCATAGGGTTTAGGGTTTAGGGTTCCTTCGCACCTGACTTCACCTGAGTACTTGAGCGCTTTGGAGGTAAGCAATATTGAGGTGCTCGGGGGCGTGTCTTTGGCCCAGATGCCACTAGTAAACCCTAAACCCTAAACCCTAAACCCTAAACCCTAAACCCTAAACCCTAAACCCTAAACCCTAAACCCTAAACCCTAAACCCTAAACCCTAAACCCTAAACCCTAAACCCTAAACCCTAAACCCTAAACCCTAAACCCTAGCACTTGCTGGAGAGCCGCTGACATCGATTCACACATCGGGCGCCCCTTCCTCCGCGCTTTTTTGGGAGCCATGGGCTGTATCAGCTGCATGCTGCGTTCGAGGGCGAAGAAGGCACGACACCCCCAAAGCCCGATAGTAGGGTTTAGGGTTTAGGGTTTAGGGTTTAGGGTTTAGGGTTTAGGGTTTAGGGTTTAGGGTTTAGGGTTTAGGGTTTAGGGTTTAGGGTTTAGTACCCCAAACACATGGGTGTTCCGGGGTACCTTCTTGGGGTCCGTATTATCGGGGAATCCTATTTTTTGGGGTTTTATAGGGGAGTCTTATTCTTTGTGGCAACCCTAAAAGCCTAAACCTCAAATGCTGACCTATGAGTCTAGGGTTCAGGGTTTAGGGTTTAGGGTTTGCTCTAAACCTTTTAAACTTTGCGCCTGAGTAGAGCTGCCAGGGGGAGACGCAGAGCAGGCGCGGCGGCTGCACAGGGGTTTCGGGGGGAGGGGCAGGGGGGTTTAGGGTTTAGGGTTTAGGATGGGTTTAGGGTTTATTCCGTGATTCATTCTGGGTCTGTATTCATATGCACATGCCGCTGGTTGCACGGTTCAGGGCCGGGAGGATCCAAAAAGTAGCTCCCTCTAGGGGTTCCTAAGAATGACCCAGTGGGAGTAAAGACTAGTAGTAAAGGGTACTATTCGGGGGTTCTACTACCCTAAACCCTAACCCCTCAACCCTATAAACCCCTAAGCCCTACTTGGAGTTTCATGGGTACTTCTAAGTAGGGTTGTGCAGCTATGGTCATAAGCTTATTTGGGGCACTTGGAACCCACTTACAAGCAGCTATGAACCTTCAAGGAAACCCTAGACCCTAAACCCTAATCCTAAACCCTAAACCCTAAACCCTAAACCCTAAACCCCAAACCCTAAACCCTAAACCCTAAACCCCAAACCCCAAACCCTAAACCCAAAACCCTAAACCCTAACCCTAAACCCTAAACCGGCAGCCCTCCTTGGCACAGGAATGCCGCCATGTCGGAGCGCGTTTGCAAGCCATGCATTCACAGGGCTGTCGCCCAGGGGGCCGTACTTATGAGGTTTAGGGTTTAGGGTTTCGGGGTTTTCAAGTACCCTAAGCAAGGATAAAATCATAGCTACCCTACTTAACAAACCCTACTTAAAACTACCCATGAACCTCCAAGTTAGTGCGGTGTAAAAACTGCTGTACTTGTGCCTTATCTAGTAGCCGCACTAGCCAGAAATCAGAAGCGCCGATTCAAAAGACAGCGCCAATCAATCAAAAACTATTTCAAACCGCAGCGTGTATGTATAGTAGGCTAAGATGCGTGATGTTCGAGCCATGTGCTACTTGCCTGCCAAGGTTTCGAAAGTTGAATTTCAAACACGGTCAGACAGTGATACTCCGTGCGGTTGGTGATGTCTGGCTTCGTCGTCTGCTGACTGAGGCTGTCTCTAAAGTTGAATTTGCTCACGGGGTTGGGCAGTGATGATCCCGTCGCGCAGCTTCGTCGGTTGCTCATTGTTTCCTTGTTGTTTGGCAGAGTGTGGCCGTTTTTAAGGTGATTCTTCGAAGACTACATTCGTAAGAAGAAGCGAGCATGAAACTTGCAGTCAGCAAGGTCAAAAGCAGGCAGCGAAAACTTGTTTGCCTGTATGATCGCTGAGTGTGTCCCCCTACCGGTGGATGTGTCTTCCGTGCTGTCAAATGGGGGTTTACGAAAAGAGGGGACCCCCCAAATAGACCCCAAATCGAAGGATTCGCTTATAACTAGGACCCCAATAAGGTGCCCCAAGTTTCGGAAACCACCAAATGTCGCCCTCGTGGTTGCTGCGAGGGTTTAGGGCTTAGGGTTTAGGGTTTAGGGTTTCGGGTTTCGGGTTTAGGGTTTAGGGTTTAGGGTTTAGGGTTGGGGTGTTTACAGAACCGCGGAGAAGACAGGTCTCAAATTGAGTTACTGGGCCACTCGGCTCCGGATCAATCAGCCTTTCCCTGGCTTCCAATCTCGTGCCCCCAGATGTGCTGCCTCAAGGGCGGGAGCATCGACACCGCTGGGGGTCGACCTCGGGTTTAGGGTTTAGGGTTTAGGGTTTAGGGTTTGGGGTTAGGGTTTAGGGTTTAGGGTTTAGGGTTCGAGGCAGCACGGATTCGAAAAAGGGCGTAGGGATTTAGGGTTCAGGGTTTAGGGATGGTCTTCACGATGGCTTCCTCATTTTTCACCGGTGCTTTCTCGGAGGGGGATGGGGTGGAGCGTGGGGTGCTGGGGGGGGGCGACAAGAACGTTTCACAAAGCGCATGCCCTGTCCAGGGTCGGTGAGAGAGTTGCTCCGGGATTCCACCCTCGTTTCAAAAGGCGTGCTTCATTGGGACCCATCAGACCTGTCTTGCCCACGTCAGAGGGAGCAGTACATAGCTCTACATCATGAGATCCATGCTCGGAGTAGCTGCTTGCGCCACATCCACTACACTCCAGGGTATGCAATCAGTCCCTACACCCTAAACCCTAAACCCTAAACCCTAAACCCTAAACCCTAAACCCTAAATGAATCTGTGGAGGAGCTAGAGCAGCTATTGCGCGATCACGACACGGAGGCAACCTTGAACCTTGGGGGGGGGGGACTTTGAGTACCTATTTTGGGCCATCATTTTGGGGATTGCTGGGTGCCTGTAAGTTTAGGGTTTAGGGTTAGGGTTCAGGGTTTAGGGTTAGGGTTTAGGGTTTAGGGTGTAGGGTAAGGACTCTACTCTTTGGTTACATAGGGGGGCACCCCTATGTTTGAAAAAGGCCCATATTCATGATCAGCAAGTCCAGTCAAACAACGTCACAAGGTTGGGGCTCACGGTCTCCAAGCCCCAACATGGGGGGTTTCGGAAAATAGGGGTACCCTTCTTTGGAGTTCCCTTTAAAGGGATTAGAGTAGGTATATAAAGGGCCCCCTATTTTCACCCTAAACCCTAAATCCGAAATCCCAACATCTGCCAGGTTGGCAGAAGGCAGAAGAAGTCCGTCCTGGTGGAGGCTGGGCGTCGATGCACTTGGCTTCCTAAACCCTAAACCCGAAACCCTAAACCCTAAACCCGAAACCTTGACCAAGCAGTGGCTGGAGCAGGAGGCCGTCGGTGGCCTTTCTGTCCTTGCAGATGTGTTGTGACTTCTTGTGCTCTGCCTTCAACCAAGTCATTGTCAGAACCATAGGCGGCTTGCAATAGCAGCGGTGTGCTCCAACCTTCACACAAAATTGGCAAGTACCGGGATGTCGGGTGGTGCGCACACTGAACAGTTACTCACGTTGCATAAGTTAAGGCCCCTATTCGGCGGATCCCAGAAGCCTGAACCCACGAGGCTGCAGGGGACTGCTCGTTTTGCAACATATGAGGCTGACAGATCAGCAGAGGTGAGTTTGTAGTGCCTCCATGGGTGGCAACTGCGTGATCTGGTGAAAGAAAACCACCACACACAAGGAGCCATGTTCCAATGCGTCACCGCTGTCACAGACAAGTTCAGCCTACTTGCTGGGCAGCAGACGTACCAGTTTTTGATGGTTGGCCTAGAAGGGGCCGGGAAGACGACGTTCCTTTACAAGCTGAGGATCAACGGCTACAAAAAGGAAGATGTCAAGAAGGACATGAAGTTCCTAAAGAAAGACAAGAAAGACCCCGGCTACCATTTCGAGGAGTTCAGCAGCCCATCCATCGGGCAGTATGGGATCTGGGAAGTTCCGGGCGATGATGTCATGAGACCCATGTGGCCCATGTTTTACCGGTATCTCCACATCCATTGCGTGATCTTCGTGGTCGATGCTTTCTCTCCAGACTGCTGCGATCTGACCAAGGAGAACTTCCACAAGCTGACCAAGGCCCGGGATGCCCTGTTCCAGCTCCTCAATGAGGACGAGCTTCGTGTCTCGGTGTTCTTTCTCGTCTTGAACGTGGACCGGAACACGGAAGATGCCGCGCGCAAGGAGGACGAGGAGCAGAACGACAACGCCCTCTTTGAGATGCTGGGCGTGCCTGAGATTGAGCAGATGGCGCACTTGAAGACGCGCTTCCGGAAGGTTGTCATGAACTGCTCCAACATCTCCCGGAAAGACTCCAACTGGGAGAGCATGCTGAAGGAGTTCCGGAAGATACAAGTGCAAATTCAGGGAGACTTTGCCATAGTTGGGTACCTTTTACTTTTTGAGGGTACTTAAACCCATAAGGAATAAAAGTTCTTTCTTTTATATTATCCCAACCATGACCTAGGAGAGATCTAGCGAAAGGGCAGCTGCAGCTACGCCATGGAGACCGAAATGACCCGGGACCCTTCAGAGTCAGAGTTCACCGTATTGTAAGATGTTAGAATGAAGCTATACTACGTTACAATTATCATATGTTAGAATATACTATAATGTCAGAAGGTATGGCCATATGTATGGCATATGAAAAAGAATGACAGAATACAACGGTTCCGCGTGTCGAGTAGTGAGTTTCACCTTGCAGAATGCCAAAGAGCATCAACGGCCGAAATGGCGGTCATGGAGCGGCCTTGTAGCCTAGGGATAGTATTTTTCATTTTTGGGTTTAGGGTTTAGGGTTTAGGGTTTAGGGTTTAGGGTTTAGGGTTTAGGGTTTAGGGTTTAGGGTTTACAAGGCCTAGGGATAGTACTTTCATTCCTAAGAAACAGCAAAAACTATCATTTTTGTTAGGGTTCCAAGTTCAGTATAGGGAGATGGCCAGCTAGCTTGCATGGCACATGCTGATCGTGTGCAGCAGGTCTCAAAAAATGCGCGCTTCAGGTCTGATGGGGTGCAGAAGTGCGGCAGCCAGGATGGGCCATTATACCCTATAATCCTTTAGCCCTTTTATAGGGTTCATTATGGGGATTATAAGGCCTAGTAGCATACCCTATAATCCTTTAAAAGGCCCTTTTATAGGGTTCATTATGGGGATTGTAAGGCTTAGTGGCCCATCCTGGAGGGCGCAAGCATCAAACCCAACGGCACAAATCGATAAGTGCACCAAGTCGAAACCCAAGAGCCCTACATAAGACCCTAAATTCCTCCCCTGTAATCCCTAAACTCCAAAAGCCCCCAACCCATACGCCTCTGTGAGAAGCAGACGAGCAAAGCTAAAAACAAGAAATAGACTCCCTGACTAGGGTTTAAAGTTTAGGGTTCACAGCCAGGCATCTCAGAAAATGAAAGCGAGCTCTGGGAAGAGGGAGACGCAGAAGATTATCGAGCCGTGGATCTGAGAAGAGGGTTTAGGGTGTAGGGTTTAGGGTTTAGGGTTTAGGGGAGTCCATCGATGTGGGGTGGGAGGGGTTGGGTCGGGGTGGGTGGGGGGGTTATGTTCCCCTACTTAGGAATTCTGTTTGACTTCTGTTATGTGAACCCCGGGGAATGTTAAACATGTTCCTTTTATCATCGATCTCGGGGACCTGTAGGATGTGGGTTTACCGCATCAAGCTTCTCATATGCCCGAGGCCGAGGTCTAGGAGCTTAGCGCAGTGTAGGGGCTTCTCCACTCACTCTTCCGACACTACGCACAGCTTTGCAGCGAAGCTGAAAAAGCAGGTTCGGGACTTGACTGATGCTACAGCCCTATGCTTGCCAGCGCACCCCCTGGTCCTGATGCTGATGCTGATTGTGATTCTTGTTGCTGTTGCTGCTGTTGTTACAGCAACCCTTCTGCACACGGGTATGAGAACCGATCTAAGCAAAACAGTGAAGGTACTAACATGCCATGTCTGGTCGGGAGCGCTTGGTGTGAGTCAGCGTGAGTCTTTGCTTGTGATGAATGACCCTAAACACTGAAGACCCTGATGCCAGAGCGACCTACGAACCATGCCGGCCTTGTGCGAGCGTGAGCAACTAAACCCGAACCCGACATCAGCTCTAAGGATAAGATCAACAACGGAGAAGACTTTGATCCCTGGCAGCATTATGGGCTGCCGATATGTTGCTGCTAATCATAGGACTGTCCACTTTTGGGGGGTCTCCTCTCATAGGGATTGCACTATATGCCTGCCACTAGTGCAGCTTAGCTCTTGCGCTGTACACGTTATTGCAAGACCAGGGACCTGGGCTATATCTAGAGGGGCCAGCCCACCCGCAGGGTGTTCAGGCTGACCCCAATCCCTCTTATACTAACAGTCCTTAATAGCGATTCTAGTACTCCTTTATTTTAATGGTCTAACTCTTAAGGAGCTGTTAGTATGAGGGGGAGCATCCCAAGACCAAGGGTTCAAAATTTTAGGGTTGCGGGGCAAACCGGCATTCTGGCGATCGTTGCGAGCCCAGATGCACAAAAGGGTTGGCGCAGAAAGCCCGCGCCCAAAATCCATGGGGTTGGACCGCAGGCAGGCTTCTGGGGTTCTTAGAGGCCCATGCGATGGGTAGTATCTGTGCACTTCATCGGCATGTTAGCATGCCTCTCCCAGGTGTTCAACCACTGGCGATGTCTCGAAACACCCGACCGGGCGTCCCCTTGCTGCACTTGCTTGCACAGAGCCAGATTTCAAACGCTGCTGGAGATCGCAGGCAGAAAAGTCATATGATGTCTAGGTTCAGCTGACCAATACAGACTGTCGGGCGGCCTGGGTCGAGTACGTGCGATCAGGATGGATGCTTGCAAACGCTTGCGCGCGCCGCCTCGTCGGGTCGCAGCTATGCGTTTTGAGGGCGTCTCCGCAAAAACGATCACGAAGGTCCCGGGAAGAGGAGGGGGTGGGGTGGGGCCCTGGGGGCAGGCCTCCCACAGCATGGTGTGGTGGGGTGTGGGGGGGGGGGGTCCATGTGGACCAGAAATGTCGGAAACGGTTGAGATCCTGGTCTGCTTGTTCTAGACGCCTCTCGGTTGGAGGCCGAGGCGAATTCTCGATCAGATACCACGACTTGCAGTATCTTCGGCCTATCAATGAGGGGCTAGTTGTCGCAGGGGGGCAAAAGACTGTGTCATGGACTGCAGATGAATATGGCAGAGGACCGAAAGTAATGTTCTGCGAGCTGGGCACACAAGTAGTCTTCCCACCAACTCATCATGCACCCCGCCGCCGCTGTGCCACAGCCTCTTGGCCGCGACCGCCCCCACCAAAAAAAAAAAAAACAACACGCACACGCACACGCACACGCACACGCACACGCACACGCACACGCACACGCACACGCACACGCACACGTTGCTTTGCAAGAGCCTTCCTCATCTGGCTCCCCAAAACCGCTGGAGTCGGACCCCAAATCTTTCTATCTGCACTATATCATACATTCACGGAAGTTTTTTTTTTACTAGCACTAGTTGCAATATATACGCTGTTTGGAGGTGTTTCTGGCATGTTCACCCCCTGCCATGCCCTAATTACTGTCTTTTCAGCATGCCTGGGTAGGCATGGCACGTTGCAGTTGATCCCTTTGTGCGTGTAGACTGCGTTCGTTTACACTCAGGGTCTAGAAGCCCCTAAACCCTAAACCCTAAGCCTGATTGAAAACTTGAATGCGACATGGGCCACGTGACACAAACTGACCAAGCAACCACGCACGTGCGCGCAGCCAGGCGCAGGTGGGCAGGTGTTTCTGCAAACGCGTGCTTACCACAATTTCATGGGGACCCTAAACCCTAAACCCTGAATGTGGGGGGAGCATGTGGGTGAGAAGGTCACATTCTGAGCGTGGAGTAAGACAGCAGGGAAAGGAGGGTGTGTTTCACGACCGACCGGACAGCAATATTGCTGCGCATTAGCGATTCCGGTTCAACAAAAAAACCTTAACCCTAAAAGCTGTGCAGGAGGGAAAAAAACCCTAAACCCTAAACCAGGTACTACACCCTGGGGCCCTTTGCCCAGCTGGAACTGGAGTTGGTGGAGGCAAGGCGCCTTATTCCTGCAGTGTCGGGCATCATCCAGACACCTGGCCCGCAAGGCCCAGGTATGAAGGGTTGACAGAGAACCCTAAACCCTAAACCCTAAACCCTATGGAAGTTACGTGCTTCAGAGTGTTATGAAAGGTATTGTTTTGCCATCGGCACTTCTGAGTCTGGGATCTTGACTTTGGCGGACCATGGAGTGACCTACGACACCCATGACTTCCCAAGGAAGCATTTCGGAGATGAGCCCGATGCTTTCGTTCGCGTTTATGTGGGCAGCTCAGTCCCATTGCCCTGCAGGATGAGTCACGTCAAGGGGGTAGGCTGGAGTCACGCTGGATACTTGTTGAGATGCGGGTCCTTAATGCTCGGGCTGGGCAAAAGGAAGCTGACCAGATAAAGCTTCCAAAAGGGTAGAACCTCACAGCCACAGCAAGTGAAGTAGAGCAGCATGAGATGAAGAAACGCCAAGATGAGCCAGGTGGATGACTGCATGCAGTACGCCTCCAAGTGCATCTACAACAACCGCAAGCCCAAATGGGAGGACCTTGCGCGAGCTGTCCCAAAAAGCGTCAGCTCTTTCTTCCGAAGCTCCTGGAAGGGTACCCTAAACACCAAACCCTAAACCCTAAACCCTGAGCAAAAAAGGGTTCTAGTCTGGAAGGACGTGCAGCTGTTCGACATCGTAGCCGACCGCTCGATGGTCAGAGTCCATGTGCGCCCTGGCTCAGTTCTCCTGCTCCTCCGCATTCCCAAAGGTATGCAACCCTCTTCAACCCTAAACCCTAAACGGCCCTAAACCCTAAACCCTAAACAGGGCAGCGAGGGCAAGTCGGAGAGTTGAGCTGGTGAAGATCTGCGCAGACCACTAAGGTATGACTCCGATAGCAAGGACAACTCTGCCGTTGAGCCCCTGGGCTTTGTTGAATTCTGCATTGCCGACATCCCCTTTGAGAAGGACATACTATGTGTATATATATCTATACATATCTATATAGAGAGAGAATTATATATGTGTTTTATATATGTATATACTACATGAGGATGCATGAGGCCAAAGTGCCGAGTCACCCATGAGTGCGCAGGAGATCGAAGGATGGTTCGAGCTGAAGTTTGCGCAGAACCTGCAAGGGACCAACCTCGACCGCTATGCACAGCACTGCGCGACTCGGATTCCCTGCCTTCACAGCTGGCGAATGAAGGTTCATGGGTACTTATACGTGGATCTATACGAACCATAAATGAGGTCAGAACCATAGTTTGCCCTACTTAAAACCCACATGTTAGTGCTTTTGAACCTCCAAGTGTACAAGCAGTGATCCAGTGATCCACGGAGAGCAGGCGACTGGAATGTTGCTGCACCCATAGTTTGGCTGCTTCTTCGTAGGGAATGAGGGAATGAGGTACCCTCAATAATCCCTTAAAGGGTATACGTAGGGCCCTAATTCCTACTGAGAACCAGGGGGTGGTTTCGTTTCCGTGTATTGCTCACATGAAAACCAGTGAATCCAGAAGTTAAAAAAATCAAATCCTGATTTAATTGTTGTGTTTGGGTTGGGTCTTGACCTACCTCGACCTACCGCGAAGGTGCAGCGTGAAGAGGAGTTCAAGTTCGCCGCTGCGCAGCATCAACCGTCAGTCCCAAGCCCTAAACTCGAAGGGTTTAGGGTTTAGGGTTTAGAGTTCAGGGTTTAGGGTTTAGGGTTAGGGCTTAATCCTGACTCCCTGTTCCGGGCGGATCTGGGTGTCAACAATCTGTGTTTGGAACCAACTGAGGACCTTAGAGAGCTCACAGCCATGCAGGAAGCCTTGCTTGCTGCTTGTCTTCAACACCTGGGGTTCCTCTGTTCATGTGCTGTGCATTGAGAGCCGCAACTTCCAGCCCCGGCCGACTGAAAGAACCCGGATGCAAAAGGGTTTAGGGTTTCGGGTTTAGGGTCCTGTGTCAGGGAGATTCAGATTCTGAGAACGACAACGACGCAGACATCCCTGACAATGCTGCATACTTGAAGCTCGGCAGGGATGACCAAGTGCTCCACTGCTCACCATGGGCAAAGTCGGCTGGAACCCTCAAAGAAACAGTCACGAATCGCCCTAAACCCTAAACCCTATACCCTAAACCCTAAACCCTCGCGCTCGAAACCCTAAACCCCTCTCAGCCCTACACCCCCATGCTTTTGACCTACTAAGCCCAGGAAGGCGAAGAGTCAAGTACCCGCCTCCACCTTAGCGCGACTGATGAAGCGGGCCCGGACCCCAGAGCTTTAGGGTTTAGGGCTTTGGGCTTTGGGCTCTGGGTTTATTAGGAGTTTACTTTTTTCTTACTTAGAGGACTTAGGGAGCTCATAATTAAGTACAGTTGTAGTTGGGGTTAGAAGTACCCTGAACCTGCAAGCAGAGGTGCTCTCTTTAATCATGTAGGGGGTTAAACAGGGCTTCCTGCAAATTTCTCCGATACAGTCATTCACAGTAACGTAGAGTCTAGTAGAATATGATCTCGCACAATAATGGCCACAAGTATGTTGTTAGCAGTCCAGAGGGCTTCGAGTGAGCCATCGCAGACTTCGCCCAATTATGTGCTCACCGCTTTGCCTTCTTTCCTTCGAAATGTTGCAACTTGTCTCAAAAAATCTTGCGCCGCCCTCAGTCCGTTCATCAAAACGAGGGCTTTTAGGTTTGCTTGTTTGAGGGTTCACGTCCATGGCATCGTTCGCCTTGGCTGGGGTCGAGAGTGTGAAGTCTTTCTCATGTCCAAGGTTAGAAAAGGCTTCTCTGCCGTGACGTCCAAGTTCGCGACGAAGGCTTCGTTGCGTAGCTTCAATTCAGGCTAGTGAGGCTAGTGGCTGCGATTTGATTCTGTACTTTCTGCTTGCATTACGGCACATATTTTCACAGGCCCGGAGCTTCCAAGAAGACGACAGCGTTCAGTACAATGCCGGAGAGATCCGCCTGCGGATGAAGCTCGTTCGGGCCGTGCCAGAAGGACTCTTCAATTCCTTTCTTCTCTCAGTTGGATATTGGGACATTTTATGATTTCCTTAGTTGGGTTTATAAGGGACCCTATTGATATAGAGTGTTTAAAGGTCAACCCAGTCCTCTGCTTGCTCCCAAGGCGCCAGCTATTTTCCTGTGACACAAAGCAGCGCTAGGCTTGCGTGAGAATGTTACACCCTGCCACCGTTCACTGTAGTCAGCAAAGGCAAGAGGTTTGGACAGAGAGGCTGAAAGCCTCCTTGGAGGTTCATGGGTAGGTGTAAGTAGGGTTAGAAGTACCCTAACTAAGGTTATGACCATTTATTATGCTTATAGTTACCCTACTCATAACCCCACTTATAACTACCCATGAACCTTCAAGTCGGGGAGGTGAATCACTCCAACCCAGCACGATACCGAACGATGGCAGGAATCGATGCCTTCGCTCGGGCTCTCCGGCCTTCGCTGCTTGTCTTCGAAGGCCTACACAGTCAGGACACCTGGTCCTTGCATGGCATTCCTGGTGCAAGGCGATGAGGGAGTTCATGATCTTGCACCATACTCTACGGGTGATTTTGCTAGAAGGGGAAAGCGTTACACAACGGTCATGGCACGCGAATGTCCTCATGGCCTGGCACACATAGTCGGGGCACTGGAAGGATGATGCTGCATGTTGCTTAAGGTACTTCACCTATGATACGTTCGTCCAGGAGGAGAACTTGCCACAGTTAGACCTGCAATGAGCTCAGTGCGTCCTCAACTTGCAAAGTGTTGGAAGACTTCGAATCGCTACTTGGAGGTTCATTGGTACTTACAAGCTAGGGTTCTAAGTAGGGTAACTATGTTTATAACCATCACCCACTTCTCAGTACCCATGAACCTTCAAGTAGGGAACGGACCCGCAATGTGATTTGGAGCCTTGCATCGCTGTGGATTTACAATTCTTAGATGGTGGGTCAGAGACGGCCACGAGGCTACTCTGGCTGATATTTCAGGAGCTGCAAGTATGCGCAGGAGGAGGGGGTGGGCGGGGCCGGGGGCGGCACTCCAAGCCACAGCCGCTACGCGCGCCCCAGAAGTCACGCGCTATAGTTCGGCAGGGAGGGGAGCGGGCGGGCAAGATGTCCCCACATTTCTCTTCGTTTCAGGCTCTGTATCGGGTTTGGACGGGGTTTTGCCCTTGCGCTCGGCGCAACAGCATCTTCCAGTTGTCGTGGCTCTGATCTCAAGTCATGTATGATAAGGTGCATAGTATACATAAATTGTAAGGATATATGTATACATATGTTTTCATGTGAAGAAGATGCTGCGGGCCACTGGCCGTTGTTTTGCGCCACATCTTGTCTAAGCCCATGTAACTGGAGACCCACGGATACGGCATCCATATTTTGAACAAGCAGGCCACGATTACTTGAAGATACATGGGTACTTATAAGTGGGGTTATAAATATTATAAATACCCTAGATACGGTTGTCACCACAGTTCCCCTACTTATATCCCTACTTATAAGCGCCCCTGAACCTCCAAGTATGCTGCTCAAGTGAACGAGAACATGTGCAAACTTGGGCAGAAGCAGGGCAGCTACAGAATTGGAAGCGGGCACGGGTGCGCGCTTCTCAAGCCAAGGAGGAAGGTTTGCTGTTCAAGCCGACCCCTTGTAAAAAAATGTGGGGTCGACCATCAGTTGAACGTTGTCTAGGTTGTCCAGCTGCATTCTGGTCGGGCTTACGGAGAAACAACTCGCCACTCATATAAGTTTAAGGGACGTGCCTAAGGCACCTACCGCCCAAGTGCAGCGTGCCTGGTAGGCTACCCTGGTGAAATGTCTATGCCACAACCCTCGGGTGGGCGGTTGTGAGATGAAAAGCTTCACACATGGTCGAGAAGCATGACACATGATGCAGCTTTGCTATAGCTTTGCTGGAGGCAGAACTTGCTGGACAACGCGATGGATATCAAGCTAACGCAGCCTGGCAGCTTGTCATGGCTGACGATATATTACCTTGAACTCCTGACCCCAACTCAGACAGATTCCTGTCTGCACATCGTCTGAAATCAGGCAAGTTTGATCATTGTGGCACATGAGCAAAAAGTGCTTGAGGCTGTTGGATGATATCCTTTTTGCTCCTTGGTGATACTTGATGATCTGGTCAACCGTTACAGGGTTGAACATGTTTATCATGGCTCCAAGTACCTTCGAAGTAGATTCATCTCGCTTGTGGTACGAGGCCGTCGTGGCCTTCTGCAACTACATCTTCGCGTGGAAGTCGTTTCTGCTGTCTGGCCTGCTGCTAACAGCTGCGCCGGCCTCAATGCCGCCTTCCACTAGAGCTGTGAACCGGGGGTACAAATTCAACATGACACCTGGACCTCGCATCCTAGGGGTTCTGCTCCGCGAAGAATGCGCCAGGGCGGCACTCTTCAGTTGCTTCCAACTTTGCCTTCATCTCGTATAGCTGCTCGTGAACATAAGCTTGTTGTTCCACCCTCTTCTTCCATGTCGACCTATCCTTGCACGCCATCGACATGCAATGGCTCAGGCAGTGCTGGGCACCGCGGCATTGAATTTGTGGACTGGAATCGTGGCTCAGATGGCAGCTCATGGCCTTCGAGTTTCGGAGTTTGTCGGGTTCCTAGTAGTAGAGGAGGTAACCTTTAACCTTCTATTGGGGTAGTAGAATCCTCATAGAATCTCCCAAAGGTTAGCCTTTAATTCACTAAGGGTTTAGGATCGTTTCCTGGCTGAAGAGTTCGAGTGGTCTCGAAGTGCTACCCTGGATTCGCTAGCCGGCGTCTGCTTGGAAGAGGTTGTCAATGTGTTTAGTGTGTGTGAGAGAGTGTGTGTGAGTGTATGCGTGTATGTGTGTGTGTGTTTGGTTTTGTTTGTGTGTTTGTTTTTTTATTTTTTTTTGGGGGGGGGAGGGGGGCGGGGGCTGTCCCCACATGCTGTCAACACAATAGACAACTGGAGACCAAGGTACTGCTACTCATGGCCAGCAAGGAGTGGCGAGATGAAATGACGACAAATGGCAGCTCAGCCACGTTTTTTGGTAGAAGAGAAGCGTTAGGCTGCAATAGGTGTCCAGCCAGACGTATGCAATAATGGAGGGAGCTGAGCAAGTCCTTAATAGGGGGGGGGGGGGTACTATAATCCCCCATCAAGGCTGTTAGTTTAAGGGGGAACATCCCAACATATGCCAAATGACCATATGCACAAGTCTCCATGCGTGGGCTCCTCACAGCACGCATTGACTTAGCCTCCTGGCCCTGACTTCGTGCAATGATGGAAGGCTCTTCGTGCGTAGCCTCAATGGCCGCAGGTCGCTGGTGGGTCCTGGTTTCCTTGGTGGCAGCAGCTATGGCCGACTCGAATCCCAAGGGAAGCAGTGCCTGCCCCTGTGTGGAGTGGGCTGGACTCCAGGATTATATCCAGGGCGGCCAGCTGATGTACACTCCGACCGGATCCACTGCGTCGCATGAGTATCCCACCGATTATGGGAACCTGGAATGCAAGGCGCATGACGCCGGGTTGGCTCCGTACTGCAATGGGGCGTCCCCGCCAGCGTGGTGCAGCAAGCCTTGGTGCTACGTTTCCAAGAGCAACTGTGCCGGCCTCCAGCCCTACAAGAGCGTGAAGTTCCCAGGGGCAGATGCCTACTACAGCTACTTACTTCGCCAGCACTTGAACTTTAAGCTTTTTGGCTTTCCTTAAGGAACTTCGAAAGTTTAAGAGCTTTTGTTCCTTGGTTCTTCTCCCTTTAAGGCTACCAGACCTGCGGACAGTCAAATGAGTTCGCTCTTTGGGCCCAAGGGTTGGCTGACAACTCGACATCGGCGCCTGAAGTCACGAAGATTCTAGATGTGGTCTTGGACTACCTCTGGAGTACAAGAGACTCTTTGGAGGACTACGATTTTTCTTATAAGAACCCCATATGAAAGAATAGTAAGAGTCATAATCCCCCATATTACCCCGTAAATTCGGAATAATTAGTCTTTTCATTTTTCTGGTGGTTCTTCAGCAAGTCGTACAGGAGGAGTATGTGAGAATGATGGCCAACGGCAGCGTTAGCGCGTGCAGCTACATCAACTTCTGCCCATGCGTGGAGTGCTATTACAACGCGCTGTGGCAGGAGAAGATCGATCCAGAAGCAGTGGGAGCCTGGCTCCGACCTTCTGTGGCTGGGCAGACCACGCAGGAATGGAACGTTCTGACCTGCTTGGTGCAGATCCTTTGTCATAGTTGGGTAACATTTTACATTTTTAAGGGTACTTAGATCCAAGATAAGGAATAAAAATTTAAATTTTAATATTATCCCAACAATGAACTAGGATCATCGCGACCACCTACAGCAGTGTGGCCGCCAAGGAGGGCCAGCCACTCGAACGAGTCGGCTACCAGTACTTTGCCGACCAGAAGTCCGGTAGCTACATTGGCTGGCCCACGGTTGATTGGTGCCCCACAAATTACGACCCACGTTTCCGTCCCTGGTATGCCTCTGGCTCCACCGGCCCAAAGGACGTCGTGATTGTCGTGGACGTTTCGGGCAGCATGGGCGAGGCGAATCGCTACAACCTTGCCCGGCAGGCGACGGGAGCAGTGCTGGATACCCTGGACTGGAAGGACTACGTGGCCGTGATCCTCTTCAACCATGGCGTGTCAGCGCAATACTCCACACGCCTGACCCCTGCGAGCGAAGTCAACAAAGATGGCATCATCTCATGGCTGAATGTACAGAACTTCAGGAGCGGCGGCACGAACTTCAAGATCGCTTTAGATGCGGCCTTTGCCACCATTCAGGCCAGCATAGCCGCGGGGTCGACCTCCATGTGCCAGAAAGCGATCATCTTCCTCACAGATGGAACGGCGGACATGTCAAACAACGACTACCTCAGTGTCCAGCAGCAATCACAGACATACGATGCTGTGATGTTCACATATGCCTTGGGCTCAGGAGCCGACACCACGGTGACGAAGCGGCTGTCCTGCGAAAACCGTGGGATTTTCTACAACGTCCCGGACGGATCGGATCTGAGCCTCATCATGGCGAGCTACTACGAGTACTTCGCCACGGGGCAGGAGATCTGCCAGCCTTCTTTCACAAGCTACACGGACGCGGTCACGAACAAAAAGCTCTGGCCAGTCTGCCTACCAGCATATGACCGAGCAGGTGCCGACCCTTCACTCTTGGGCGTCACATGCATGGACCTCAATATGATCGCGGACCCCACGGCCATGCAGTCCGAGTCGTACTGGGACTACATTAGCTGCAAGGTGGCTGACTTACCAGGAACACCCCAATACAATGATGTATACTGGTACACTAGTATCAGAAGAATCTGATACCCAAAGTCCGATATCGTATACTCAAAACGTCATGTAAGGTCCCTAGTTCTAAGGTGGGAGTCTGAATAGCTCAGAGCCCAACCTACAGTAGCCCATTCGGTGCCACCAGCCAAGCGCAGCCAAGACATTCAAGGGCATTCAAGCATGTTTGAGACGAGGACCTAAACACCCTAAACCCCAAAGTGGAGCACTGCTAGACGGGTGGCAAGATAAACACCCTAAACCCAAAACCCAAAACCCTAAACCCTAAACCCTAAACCCTAAACCCTAAACAAGAAGAACTTCAGCTTCAAGTCCAAGAACCGAAGTACTTGGTGACTTGGTGTGTCAGTCTCTGACTTCCAAAACCCCAGATTTGTTTCAAGGCCCGTTTCTCAACGGAGCGCTCCACCTCTGGAAGCCTTGCAAAGAAGTTCTCAGATCTGGGTTCAGCTTGGGATTAGGGTTTAGGGTTTAGGGTTTAGGGTGCATGTATCCACCGAAGGTCTCCGACTTCACGAAGACCTGCCAACAGCTGGATACCAGTGATTGCCGCCTGCAGAGGCTAAGGGCTGCTGCGGGCACGGAGTCGGTGTGCGAAGGTAGCTAGGTGGGACCGTGGGATATGCCTTTTGCACTTGCCTTTGCGTTGGGTTCCCGGATCTTAGTTTAGAGTATGTATGTTCTTGTGGTTGTTGTGGTGTTGATACGGGCGCCAACCGAGGTGAGGTGCCAAGCACCTGCTCTTGCGTCGACCCGGATTGCCAAGATGACACGTCCTTCATCGACGAGAAGGGCTACTTCTGTGATACATGGGTTGGCGACGACTGTTCCAAGGCGCAGGAGTCTTGGGGCTACTCCGCCGCCGGTCAGCAAGCAGCACTCACCAGGTGCCGGCGCTCTTGCGGACAATGCACCATGCTTTCCCCATGCCCATCCACGAAGCGGTGTGTGGGCACCGAGCGCTTCTCCGCCAACGCCTGCAGGGCGTGTCGCACAGACAAGGTGTCGGGCATCGACATCCAGGGAAGCCTAGTAGTAGAGTAGGTAACCTTTGACCTTTTTGGGGTAGTAGAATCCCCTTAGAATCCCAAAGGTTAACCTTGAATTTCCCCCAGGTTACTGGACAACTAAGGAAGGGTCATGGCTTGTCCGGGCTCCACGCGCCCAGAAGACACCAGCGCCGGCGCCGCTGGGGCGGCGCACTCGAGCAGCATGAAGCTGCTTTTCATCGTCGTGTTCTTGGGTCGGCTCCTGGCATAGAGTGACCGGCTGGTTAGCAGCAGACTGAAGTCTGAGCTTGGGGTTCGTGTGTTTCGTATGTTTCAAAGACCCTATGATCGACAGTTCCGGTGTCAACAACACCTTGAGAACTGCACAATCCCTACGACCAAGAGTAGTTCCAGTGTCAACACACTTGGAACATGTGTCGACAGTTCCGGTGTCAACAACACTTTGAGAACTGCACAATCCCTACGACCAAGAGTAGTTCCAGTGTCAACACACTTGGAACATGTGTGACCTCTCTTTTCAAGGGCCCTTTGACGATTTCACCGTCGCCGCTTCCATGTCGGAACCAACGCGAGGTTCCGACCCGGGCAGGTGGTAAAACAGGTCGGCGCCGGGGAGCCTTTGGGATTCGCAACAGCCACGAAAACCCTAAATTCCTAAACCCTAAACCCTAAACCCTTAAACCCCTACATGAAATACCCTAATTCCCTAAACAACAAGCCCCCGAACCCCGACATGAAATTCGCAAAACTGCCCCCCGAAAAGCCCTAAACCCTAAACCCTAAACCCTAAACCCTCAACCCTCAACCCTCAACCCTCAACCCTCAACCCTCAACCCTCAACCCTCAACCCTCAACCCAACTGAGGTCTCAACGCGCCCTTAGATCAGCGAGGCCTTGAACTGGTCGCGGCCTGGAACGAAACCTCCGCGACCTGGTTGCCGATGCTACCAGGGTGGGGTGACGGTGAGCGCTTTGGGTAGTTTAGGGGATCTGGCTAGCCTACAAGCCCAGTTGCAAAAAGGATTTAGGGTTTAGGCTTGTTGGTTCGGGGTTCAGGGTTTTTAAAATGTTGCACGGATGAGTGCGAAGTGGAAGAAAAGCGGTCTCCATTTCAAGACTTGGTCTCGGCACTAGCTCACAAGCGACGACCCCTCGCGGAGGCCGCAGCGGTGCCTTGTGGGACCGAAATAAAGTACGACAACGTTTCAGAGTTCATGGGGTTTTGTTTTCGCGCGCTAAAACATACAGGTGGTGTGGTCTGCCGGTCGTGGAACGGGTGAAATGACTTTGTTCGTGTCTTTGAGCTTACGAAAACATGGCTGGCAATCTTTTGTTTGCCCGTCCGGCGCTGGAGAGCCCTCTCGCCCCCTTCCCTTCCCACCCCCACCCCCCCCCCCCC